GCTAAAATTCCTTTATGAGTTTATGATACTGCAAAAGAAAAATTTCACGAGTACACATTAGCCATCATTCTGTCACTGGTCTGCTCAAGAATAGTCTGTCCCCCACATTCAAAAATTTTATTTGTCACCTTTGTTCCCTTTCTCACACTTAAAATTTGAGTAGATATTAAGTACTTGCCTTAGGAATTATATTAAGCAATATATACAACATGAATGTATACAAGTACGTACATACAGTGAACGAGGTCTACTGTATGTGTACTCGTAGACCTCTTATACAAAAAGTATTATTGTGACCAAAGAGAGGAAAACAAATTATGATACATTTTTATATATACTGTATATGGTGGCATATACATACTGTATATGGTGGCATATTTTTATATATACTGAATAATATGGTGGCATGCTTAGGTTTGAATGTTTGCATCTCTACTCTGTGTTTCACACTAAGTAGAAAATGTTCTCAAGTGTGTATTTCATAATTTCCATATCCAGCGTAAGCAGGAAGATAAAGTCTGCCGCCGCTGGGTCTTGAACCCGCGACCTTCAAGTTACTAGATCGAAGCTCTACCAACTGAGCTACACGGTCAGACGGATTTAAGACTGGAAATTATGAACTATATAGTGAATGTCATAAACATACTTGTTTATATTAATTCAGTATCGAACCATACTGGTTCTGCAAGTGTTATGTTATGTTGTGTTATTGTTCACTCCATAATATGATAAGTGTGTATATATCGAGTGTATATATATACGGTATATATATATATATATATATATATATATATATATATATATATATATATATATATATATATATATATATATATATATATATATATATATATATATATATATATATATATATATATATATTTATTTATAATATAGTCATCCACCGTATATGAGCTGTTCTGCAATCTGATTGGTTGAATTACTCGCCGTATATCAGCTCATATACGGCGAGTAGCGAAAAACAAGATGGCGGTCCAAAAACTACATGAGTTTTGCGAAGCAGAAAAAGGAAAATATTCGCTTTGAAAAACATAATAGTACAAGGAAAAACTCTCAAAAAAATTTGACAGGTTAGCAAAATACATTTATTACGTAGAAATTAGTTTAAATCCAAGTTTTTTAAAGAATTAATACCGAAACAACAGCGAAAAAACATGTTCATTGAGAATATAAATTGTTCAGAAAAGTTTGCAATGAACGACAAATGAATTTGCAGTCAACAGGCACTTACTATAGTACCAAACATCTGTATAATATATCTGAGCTTTCCTGTGAAATATAGAGGTTCTAAAACCATTTCTTTCACTTCGTTTTCAAGTTGTAAAACAAAAGTATTTCAAATTTTCAAGCGGTTTTTGGCCGAACAAATTGTCAACACATTGTAACAGTGAATAATTAATTACTGCTTCAGAATTATTCAGACCGAGGTCAATGTTATCTGCCGAAGCGAAGCTGAGGCGGATAACATAGACCGAGGTCTGAATAATTCTTGATATCATGCGAAAGCAGAATCCAATAATTGTTTTATTATACATTTAAAGACATGAGAAACGTATAGGACGATTCCTGTTCATGAGGTAGGAAAAGTACAATTTGAATATCAAACACCTTGCACAAAGTCAAAGGTCAGCTAAATATTATATTTCTACTTCTATTTACCCCTTTGTGGCTTTTTTCGTGCTTTCACTATCCTTATCTGCCAATAATTTGGAGAGTTCACTTTCATTCAGCGAAGCAAATCTGTTGTCGGCCATTGTTTGTTTGTTTTTTCCCGCGCTTATAGGTTCAAGCTTTTGGCCGCACAAGGGTTTGGGCACGAGAGAGTCCAATAATTTTTTTTTGGATGCAAGTTCGATCCAAAAAAACAATTATTGGACGCTGATGACGTCATCGGCGGAAAATACGTAATAAATGCCGAATACTGAAAATTAGCCGGTGCTTTCTGACCAATTAGAAACGAGAATGCATATTAAATGTATAATAATATGATATAGTACATCGAGAACCATAATATAGTGTCCTCTAATAATAGTGTTCTTCAATGATAACTAGTGTTCATCATAAGTGTTTTCTGTAAACGCACCACATTTCTAATAATCAGCATTTTTGAACACATATTAGATATTTCAGAAATGTTATCACACATTTTTTCTGGGAAAAATAAATGTTTTGAAGTGCTCAATATGAAGAAGGGCTGCCCCCCTTGAGTAAAAACCACAAACAATTTATAGTGGAACGTTGTAGAAAAGTGCTGTCTAGTATTTCATAAAATATTTAGCGTTCAACGATGTTTTTTGCATAAATCCCACCACAAAACAATTAAGTTTAGTCGAAAACATTAAAAATTGAAGGCAACGACCATATAGTAGACACTAATTGCATAAATATATTATATGCACGCATGCTTATTTGCGGAATTTTTCTAGAATATGCTCAAATCCATAATGCACAAGTACACACTATATAAATATTGCCACGGAGTTCGAGATTGGCAAAACGAAGCGATTCTGTTTCTCACAGAGGTGAGATATATGGCCCGGAAATATATAATTATCAAATTACAATAAACACAAGACAATTCAACCCAAGTACCGAATCGATTAAAAAAAATTTTGAATGAATTTCAGTCCCAATTTATATTGAAGATAGAGTATTTATTCTTATACGTATTATGTAAAATTTGTTTGCAGAGACCGTGTTAAATTGTTAATTTACACAGTTCGGACAACCGCATAAACGCTCATAATATTTACCTTGAAAAAAGTCCTAATTTAATACAAGTTGTTTTGAAAATACGACACTGCAGTGATCGTTTATAAACAACATATTAAATATTCGAAATATAAAAAAACTCTGACATCAAAATATCTTGCAATAAAATAGCTGCGTAATATTTATGTACAGCCTTATCGCTCAAATATGTCGGCTTTAAAAATAACCCCATAATTATATTACTTATACATTTGAAAGGAATGTGCCTTAAGGGAATTCGACATTGTTATTATTTAATTTTTTTGAAAAGGAGAGGGCTGTTTGCAGTATGAATAAGTCTTCTTTCTTATCCTATGTCGTGATAATTATAACCGCTTGCCTTGCCAATATAAATAAATAATCTTACTTGATGTAATAGAGTTTGCTATCAGAGGTTTGGGCAACTTCCCAGCCATACGACAAATCATGCCGACTTCTCCAAGTTTCTATAGGAGGCAGCCAAGACCACTTCTTATCGACTTCACTACATAGCGATATAAAAGTACAGTTACATTATCATGCGAGATTTATTATGAAAACAAATTGTGAAATGTAAATTAAACCGTAACGAGAACGAAGTAGCTTAATAATTTCGGGATAATAATTTCAGAAATGTGTCAGCATTTTAAACGCTCGCTGGGAAAATTATCTAGAAAAATAATACACAAAAGCTATGCAGAAGCTTTTATATTTTTGGAAAAAATCGACGCAAAACAAGCATAAGCAAATAGTTTTAATCCGGATAAGCAATATTTCATTGTCAAATTAATGCTATGCATTCGGGAAAAAGTAATAAGTAAGCAACAAATGTTAAGTTCATTAAATGTAAAATGAAACATTTTACGACTCAAATTGTCAAATTCATGAGGCAATAAACAGATGCCACTCTATACCTCTTTTGTTCCCGATAAATTGCCCGATTTAATAGCTTTCAAGGCAATTTCAATGACCACAAAATTCGAGTACATTTACTACATATTTTAGATAGAGTGATCGATGATTTAGCTTTTGTATACAAGAACGATTTTCATGACAATATTAATAAATTAAGTTTACGATCTCAGCAAGAACGCACTTACTTGATGTAAACCAATCGATCTTGTTCAATCACGAGGATTTTCCATCCCTCTGGCAAAACTAAGTCGTTTATATCAGGCTTGGTTGTTATCTGGCCTGACTTCTCCATTCATTCGAAGCTATGCGAGTTATATTAAATCTTGTCGACTCACTTGACAACTATAAAATCGCCGGACATAGTCCATCGTGAAGAACGAACACAAACACGTATATCCGTCAAACCCAAGCATTTTAAAGTCTGTACGAAGCTTTAGACGTTACTGTTGTCTTTATATTTTATCCGCATATTTATTACATACAAAATAACCGTATAGTACAAGCAAAGCAACATAAAATATGCACAATAATATTTCATTCAGCCGCAGGAAACCGCAAATGTGCTTGAAGAGACAATGCTTTTGTTGTTGATCCCCCCCGGCATCTCCCGCTGACCGGTGATGGTCAAGATTTGCCTCAAATTTCTCATGAAAATCTTGCAAATATAGGGGCGGCGGTGGCGCAGTCGACGTCGCCTTTCGCGCGATTCTCGCGCTACGGACACCTGTGAAAAGAGTCAGTCAACGCTCTGCCGAAAGTCGTGGGTTTTCTCCGGGTGCTCCGATTTCCTCCCACACGGAAAGTTGACAGGGTGGGCTTATAGGATAAAGACAGTCATAAGGAGCAATATCACTACTGTCGACTGTTGTAAAGATAAAATAGTCTAGGCTATTAAAGTGGCAATATTCGATTCTATTCGGTAAGCGTAATATTCGATGTAGAGTACCTTTGGCTTTGATCACATCCACATATGTAAATTTGCACTGTAGAAATGTTTTAATCGTAAATCGTAAAAGCCGATATAGACTACACAACCGCTTTTGCCTAAAACTGTCGCATGCTGACCTGCTTAGAGTTCTACTCACAACTAGTGCAATAGACTTTCCCCAAAAGAAATCACAGTGCATTCTGGGATCGTTTGGAGCGACAAAATATATATGGTGACAGGCGTCAAATATGTGAAAGAGTAGAAGTCTCTACTATCAAATATCAACAGTTTAGAGTTTAGACGACCAAAATGAACCGTATCTCCTTTTTACATTAAACTTTTAATTTAAATGTGTGCTGCCATATTTCTTGTCCCTCCAACATAGGATTTGCGCGACTCGACCCAGGACTTTGGGAAATGGCTAATTGTACTGTGTAAATCAAGCCCACAACTGGCCTATACCGCTACGACAACGTAGTTTAGTATGCATGCCGATTTAAGGCGGTTTTCCACTAGGCGAAATTTTTCGACCGAATCGAAATTTTCTTTTGTCCTACAAGCACTCAGATGGAACTAAACAGAAATCTTTTGAATTTGAACAATAGAAATTTCGGTTCGATCGAAAAATTTCCCCAAGTGGAAAACCGCCTATATAACACAGTGCAACTCAAGTCGTAAGCAGGTTGCATGCGACAGTACAGTAGTTTAGGCAGACGTTGACAACGTTGCGCAGGCTAAAAATCAGCCATTCGGCCTTAATTAATAAACAACCCTTACCCTTTGTAATTTCATGCATATCCGGAGAGCCGGCGTACGCTACCAGGGTGGGAGGGGTGGGGTAGGGGGTTCGGAGCAGGGTACGTAATGGGAGAAGGTGCCACTGTTCCGAAATAGAAAAGCGTCATGTCTCATATGACATTTACTGGTAAGAACGTGTACAAAGGCAAGATCATGTCTGAGGCAAATCTCGCGAAAGGGTTTTTGCCTACCGATTAGATCAGCTAGTGGTTTTTGTACTTGAGCATCCCTGAATTTTCATCCACTATATATAGTTATATCCAATACGGCGTAAAATATCGATATTTACACATACTCCTGCTACTAGCATAATTATGTATAGCTACATGAATCTACATGCTGTTAATCCTACCAGGGCTGGCACCAGAGGGGGGCTGTAGACGGGGTGAGACACTCCTTATTTATGAACGAGTCGGCAAATTGTTGCATTCATTCGGCAAAAATCAGTGAGCATCTATATCGAGTCGTAGCGGGTACTTTAAACTCCAAAACAGCCCAACAGCCTATACTGATACATACAAACACTCCGATATACATACAAACTTTATTTGACCACGCTAGCCTCAACAATCGTTGGGAGGCTGATTTCCACGAGGGGCGTGAAATATAAAATTAACTATTTACAAGAAATAAAGAAATATGAAAAAAGCTAAAATGAGACTAATTTGCAGGAAAGGGGACACGAGAATACGAATACGATGATTTTTAATGCGTGATCATACCAAGTTTCAACTCGTTCTTTGTTTTAACGATTTAATTGAAAGAGCTTGAGGATTCAGCAATTCAGTTTGCCTCATGTGGAAGACTATTCCAATGCAAAGCACCATTACAACTGAAGCACCTCTTGCCGAATTCTCTTTTCAGCATATGTGGTGCTAAATCAGTATCCCTATTTCTGAGATTGTATGCATTATATCTTTCAGTATTAAATTGAAATGCTTCTTTAAGATTAATGGGTGTGGTGTGGCTATTCAAAATAGTTATGGGTGAAAATAGATTTAATGTAGTTTCGGGTTTTTTCTAGAGGTTTCCGATTTCGATTCTCGATCGAGTAAACCAGATGACCGAATATATAGACGAGTAACCGAGTTGGTTTTTGACAGTTGTTGTGGGTGGTGTAACAGGGCAGTGTTATACCATGTTAATTAATATATTCAATACTATATATTCAGTACTGTTATAATTGTAAGAGGAAGACCTTAGGTAACCTTCCTCGCATGAGTAAGCAAATACTTAGAACGATTAAAGAACCACGGGAAACGCCTAGTACCACAAACCACGCAAGCAGGACATGGTTTTGTGGTTGATAAACACTGCTAGAACTTGCTTTGACAATCATATTGCGTAGAGGAAATTAGTCATAGTTATAGATTTCTTCCTCTAAAATTTATTATAAAAAGCTGAGCGCAACCTGAGAGTCGAGAGCGGAGAGTGAAGTGAGAAGAGCCATTTAGGCTAAAATAGCCAACAAAGGCTGAAGTATATAATTAAAAGGCTAGCCATAGTTAAGCCTCGTCAAGTAAACTAAAGGAGGAAACAGTGCCTTTTTTAACTATATATCTGGGGGGGGGGGGCAATTGCCCCCCCCAGGGAAAGAATTTGCCCCCCCCACCCACCCAGTAAAGCCATTTCTGCCCCCGAAGTGCGAAGCAGAATTGATCATGATTGCTGTCAGAATTGCAGTTGATTTACTTGATGAGATTATGCCCTTCCATACGGCCTCCTCCACAGCCATCTTGTGTGTAATTCATATTGTTATTCGCCAAGTATTTCATAATAGCGATAGATTTCATGCAAACAATCCAATAAAATGCTGGTTCCAAGAAGAATAGATTTAGTTTAGATTTTTAACTGTTAAATACATGTATGCATCATCATAGCATGAATATTTCTTCTCAGATTTATTCTGTATCGTATAAAAAAGCAACGCAATTTTGAGAATGCGTAATGGTGTCTCATATAGAACCTAAAATGATTTAAAATGCAACATTTCTGATCAAAGTCACATTGGAATTTTCTAACCCCCCCCCCCCCTCCAGCATCACAGAGAGGAAATAAGGTGACACTGACCCCTCCTCCTATTTTTCAAGGTGACTTTTCCAATTTATTTAATTCCGAGTAGAAATGTCTGGAAAAATTCATGTCTTCGATGTACTTTATAATCCTCGGAATTCTGCTAGATTTCACTCCCAAAATGCTTGAAATCGCAATTCAGGGTTAGGTCTATAAATCAATGTAGGCCTATAAAATTTACACTACAAAATTATTCAACATTATTCAATGGAGTGAGATGCAAAACTAATCCTGATTCGCAATTTTTTTTGGTTTGTAGGAGTGCGCCAAACAGATTCTGAAGAGAAAGTGAGCCGAATTATAGCCGAGACATCTAGATCCAGTAAAGGCCTTGTATACACACTTGAAAAAGAAGAGAGGGTCCATTTATTTCCATAGCCAATAAGGATATTGGAAGCAATCAGTATCGTCTGTCAAGATATGGACTGGAAGTCCGGCAAAACTTCAAAGCTACAAAATACAGTAGAAGACCTTTGTTTGATGTTGTCTCAACTTCGTTAAATATTATTAATTCGAATTCATCGCGGTTGCTCGTTTCATCTCAGCTTTATCCCAGTATTGGACGGTTACTTAATATTATACGAAAATACAATGAGCTCAATCACCGTGTCCGCGTGCACAAATTAACATAAACTCAGACAAAAACATAATACAAGGACTTCTGTTTGCCGGTTTCCATTGCAGTCGCTTTGCCCGCGCGGGCGGAGCGCGGCCTTTGACTATCTGCGCATGCGGGCGTGAGGGGCGTCAAAAACAATGGACGCTTCGCCCGCGCGGGCAAAGCGAACGAAGAGGTATAGAACCGGACGAATTTGAGTACGGTTTCGAATTCATCGAGCCATAAATAGTACATATATACATGCATACATATTATATTGAGTTCCTCGATGAGGCTTTTCGACACCAATTTACTGGCCGGAATGATAAAATTATTATACTATCAAGATTAATATTATTACATAGTTAAGAATTTACTATTATAAAATTTTCTATCATTAAAAAATATATATATATATATATATATATATATATATATATATATATATATATATATATATATATATATATATATATATATATATATATATATATATATATATATATATATATATATATATATATATGATGACAAAGCTAATGAATAAAAAAATTTAAGAACAAATTGAAGAACGACATGCTAGCCAGACCTTACAATTAGTTATATAGACTACTTTTAATGATAGAAAATTTTGTAATAGTAAATTCTTAACTATGTAATAATATTAATCTTGATACTATAATAATTTTATCGTTCCATGTAAATTGATGTCGAAAAGCCTCATCGAGAAACACAATATAATATGTATGCATGTATATATGTACTATTTATGGCTCGATGAATTCGAAACCGTACTCAAATTCGTCCGGTTCTATACCTCTTCAAACGGAACCGGATTAATTACGAGACGAAAGTCACGAAACCGAAACCGATTCGATTGAGTAGTAGTCCCGCGGAAGTATTCACGTACTTCATGTTAATTTAAAATTCTTCTCAATTTCAACCTCTGCGGTGCAAAATGCTGTTCGCATGGCGCCGTCAAATTTAGTAGCCGTTGGTCAAAGTTTGCGATAAAAAATGGTCAATTTGGTCAAAGTTTGCGATAAAAGATGGTCAAAGTTATATGAAATCGTTCGCATTTTTAACAATTTCTAAGCTTTGGTCATGTTTGCGCTGAAACAATCGCAAGCCTTGCAAATTTTGGTCGAAAAATATTTGAAGCTTTGCTTATGTTGGTCAGGAAATATTTTTTGACCCCCCCGACACCATTTTCGGGAAACATTTCTACTACTTGGTCAAAATTCTAGGAAAAATTGGTCAAAACATAATGACATCCCCCCCCCCCTCCCTGTGTTGAGTCAATGATTTTCAATGGTTGTTGGGACACTTGCGGTTTTAGATGATAAGTGGTATATGCATGCTAATTATTACAAATATTTTTATCTTCCTCCCCTTCCCCTTCCCTCCCATTCAATGTTGTTTATCCAATCCCGATATCTGATAGCACACTAAAGTTAAGATGCTCTGCATTCTTGTACTTGGCATGGTCGAAATGTAGAAAATGCGTACTGGGTGTGATCAAGTCTGTTTATTACCGACGTATAAAACACCTCAAGCGCCTCGATTTTCTGGCACTTTTCGGCATTTTATACGCCGGTTATGACTGTTTACTCGTTTATTATACATTACTTATAAAATGGAGGTTGGAGTTTTTTTTTAAATTATAGGTTGTTGCTCAGTTTGATATGATTTATAAAGTTCAACTGAAACAATATTTTGTGGTCAGGAAAAAAATTATGATACAATTCATCCCGGCAAGCAAAGCTGGCCCGGCTCATATGAAGTATACTCACGGATGGTCCTTCAGTTTAAGATATATAAACGCGGCTAAACGATGGTAATTTGTGACACTGAAAGAGCGACGCAATTTATACTATTACTTGAAAAGCTAGACCGGCGGAAATTAATGGCATATCATGTTTCATAGACAGAGTTTACAAAGCGGGCAGCTCTGCACGTATTGTTCATGGTCGAAATGTAGAAAATGGGTATCCCACAGGTGGCGTTAGGGCTCGATCAGGTGGCTTAACTTGAGGAGGCTTAACGCGAAGGTAACTACCTCTCTTGAACATGACGTTTCAGACCATCGTATGTCCATCGCGCAAAATGTAAAATAAGTACATGTATACCGGTGACGATTGTATGAAACTCCAACCATTATATTTTATAGTAGTTAATAATGAGAGGGAGGCGTAAGGTGGGAAAGGGAGGGGTCCCTTTTCTCTTGACCTGATTGAATTATTAAATTAAGGGTGAGGCAGCGACGCAACGTTAATTCTTCAATCCACGAAGGTGTCAGTGGTGTAGACAATTGAGATAATCGTTGGGAAGAATTTGAAATTTGGGAAGAGATTGTGCGTGCGGTTCCGGTGTAGGCTAATACTTGAACAGTGTTCAAGAAGTTAATTGGAGGGGCGGAAGCGGAATTTATTATTATATATAGAACGTGTGAAAGTTCATATATTCTTGCATCTCATTGGATAAGAGCGTTTATGTGAAAGTCAGGAAATTCCAAAGTCTTCGAATCTGGCAACAGCTCTGAGCGGTAATCGTTCGATCATTTAATTACGCAGCAAAATTATGGACACTTTGACACTTTGAATACTGCTGAATTACTAATGCACTAATTTGAATATGAATATTTCAGATAGGAATATAATTATTTCGGGTACGAAAATGAATATTTCTATTCCTGGGATATGAATAGTTCAGTCAGACATTATGGTGGAAATTAGTGGCGTAAAAACTCCCCCTCCCGCTTCCTATACTCTCCCGATATAGAACATTGTGCTGATCCACAGTGCCGACTCCCTTGCAATCAAATAATCCATCAAAGTACCGCTTCCACTGACTTTCGACGTGCTTTCACAGCCTTCAGCTGTCTGAACAATTTATAAACCAAGTCAATCCTCATCTCATCTAGACATTATGCATAATGACGTCCACATATGGCATGATGCGCACGGGGAATTTAATAGTAGTAATGATATATACATACCAGAATCCAGCATCCTCATACCTCGTCTTAGCTAGTCATGGCGGGAAACTTAAAAACAATCGGACATGATGATCCGAATGCGATCTGTGCTGCTGTTCTTTGTCGTCTTTATATATAACAGAATATAGTTCGGGATTTATTTTATTGTTGGTAAAATAACCAGGAACACAAATACGAAAACCCGCCACTTCTTTTACTCGTATTGGAGTGGATGAAAGCGCAGTGTTGCCGTTACTTCCAGGGCTGTCAAACCTCTGAAGACACGCGCAAGAGTTCTGAAAAGAACTAGGGTCTTCATAGCCTCCAAAAAACGACAAAGAACAGCAGCACACTCGCATTCGACAGTAGCCATGTTGGATTGTTTTGAATTTTCCCGCCGTGACTACTAAGACCAAGATTCCTCGCGCGCATCACGTCTTGTGACGTCATGCATAGTGTCAGATCCGGCCTTTGGCGTTCTGGGACATCTCACTGTACTATAATTTATCGGAAAATCCTACCGACGTCTCCTAGTCCTTGATCGATTCCAAAATGCTGCCTCTATATTCCATTTCGGTCAATAACAAAATTTACCGGCTTCTCGAATTAGACCTCCTTGTCGTGCCCATGCATGAAGCAAACACCATCAAGCTTGATCATGCCTGGGCCGCAGGGACGCTGGAGCGAGGGTAAGGCACAGGGGGCCAATGTTGACGTAAGGGCAATCACTAATTAATATTTCGTTTCCGAAAAATTTTTCCGGAACCTGAATTAGTGAATTCACCAAAACAAGAGGGAAAAAAATTTTCCGGAACCTTAATTCACCAAAACAAGGGCAAAAAAATTTGAAACTTAACTGAATTTTTTACTAATATTCCAGAAAATTTCACGTATATTTCAATATCACGTCCATTTCACGCGTAATTCATACTTTTTAATCGTTGTACCTCATATTTTTTGGGTTAGAATTTTTACTCTAAGGGCACTTTCGCTCCTCCTGCCCCCACCTTACTTGTGGGTATATATTGAAAATTTGAAATTATTGGAATTTCCCTCCCGCCATGCAATATATATATAGACTTTATTTTCCGAACGAGAGTTACAAAATTCAGAAAACCTGAGTTATTATTTATTCGAAAATATGGACATTTACAATTCACTGCGGGTCTGCGTTCCAAAGGCAAAGCTATTGCAATACAAAATTGATAAGCAGTTTGAACAAAAAATATGCCAGTGCTGAAATGTGCAATGTCTGCAATGCTTATTCGAGTATTTGTACGAAGTTTATGATTTTTTGAATGATATAAGACTTTTGCATGCCAGAATGCAGACAATACTATTCCAACGACTTTAAATAGGGTGGGAAAGAGGGGGTATGGATCACGTTTCACAACGAAAAAAAAGCCGTTTCACGATTCACGTGTCTTAAAAAAGCAATTTCACGGAAAACTAGATTCTCATAAAATAACATAATAATAATAGCTTTATTAAGACTATGTTTAATGCATGGTACAGTATCTACGCTTTAAGTTCTCTCATTTCTCTACCAGTCAGTTAAAAACTGGCAATATTTTGCCAGGCGGGAGGGGGGCTCTGGCTACGTCACTGTACGGTGCAAAGGCAGTTTGTGGGATTATCCCAACCATAGTCTATCGAAGTGAAGATGGCTGTGAAAGTGAAACTCGTTAAAACAACAATATAACTCATTATCTATGTTATAGTCAAGTTCAACGTTATTCATAAATCTGATCCTTCACCGTCACGCGTGTGTATTGTATTTTTGCCAAATGCACCAATAGTAATTTCCAATTTCCCTATTGTTCAAGTCACGGTTAGGTAACTTTCCTAAAACATTGCTATTGGTTAGTTGTGCAAAAATACAATACACACCGGTGACGGTGAAGGACCAGATTTATGAATAAACGTTGACTAACATAGATAATGAGTTATATTGTTATTCTGAGTTTCACAGCCATCTTTCCTTCGATTAGCTATGTCCCAACCCAGCCTATGAGAGAAAACCGGAGCACCCAGAAAAACCTTTTGAAAAGACTTTTGGCAGAGCATTGACTGACTTTTTTCACACAAGTGTCATGAGCCCGCAGCGAGAATCGAACCCATGATCGCAGAGGTAAACGATTGCATTAATAATCTGTTATACGTTTTGCATTATCTTTTGTCCAAAAAGTTTATATCGGCTACTTCTCTACGGAGGTGCTAGACACGGCTAGGTGGAGTGGACACCCCCCTGCACCCCAACGGTAGATCTGCCCCTGCCTTCGGCGCAAATAACTGACTACCTGAGGTTAGAGAGAGATCTGCATGGGTATTGGCTATTGCCCTGCCCCCTAAACCCAAACCTAACCCCAAACTCAACCCCGTCGCGGAGTAGCGATTCGGTGCAACTTTTATACCTGCCTCAGGGATAGGGATGGGCTAGGGCCGGGGCAACCTCGTACCCAGGCTCTTACCTTCGCACGCCCCAAGCTGCGGAAAAACCCTGGTGCCGGCTGGTCACGTGGCTCCCAGGATATTAAATTACCAAGGGAGGGATGGACAAATCTAAATTACAATGCTTCCACTTTCCAATAGTAAAATTCGTTGGTAAGGAGCGGACGTATTGGTTTGAATTGCAAAAAGTGTAATTTGAGAGCACTTTGTATCGCAATTTGTTATTGTATAATTTGTATTGAATACTTCGTGTCAAGTTGACAATTATGCGCGCGTTTGTGTTCTTTTTGTCATTCACATGCAGCCAGGCCATAGAAGCAAAGTTGATAATTTCAACGGAGACTCGAACGGAGATGCTCGAGTTTCATTGCATTTCTTGCTTGTTTGGAATTCGTTGTTCAAAATAGTGCATTTCATAACAACATACTGTACTGAAGACGAACCAACTAAGCAAGTTCTTTGTTTAGAAAGTATTTATTTATTTATTTATTCAATTTCGCCAGGTTTTACACGATTGATAACATTGTGTTCAAACTTCGACAAGAGTTGCAATTTAAACATACAGATCTCCGTGTTCTTGGGTCCTGCATCAAAACAACTGTACGCCCAGGGCTTTCAAATAATACTGTCGTAAAGCACACGAGCAAATTTTATTTTGACAAATTTCATTTGATCAAATGCAAATGATCAAAAGCTAGCATGCTAGCTTGCTAGCTTTTGTTCAAATGCATTTGTCACAATAAATTTGTCACAAATTTATCATCTACACGAGCAGAATATCTTTGACATTCAATTTGCCCGTGTAAACGGGCCTTAACAAACTCTTAAATGTACTTAAACATATATTATTTATTCGACAAAAGATGTTATTTATAATTTGTATCCTGCCAACGCTTTATATGGAAAGTCTCTGATTTTCGTCTGACCCATTGTTGATGTTTGCAAGGGATCATATTTAATAAACAAGTCGATTTTCTTTCTCCATGGAAATCATTTGAGATATCTACTCAGGACGGTTCGTGTATTGTTATAGTTGTGTCTCCCTTGAATTCACTGATACAAGATCAAATATCTCGACTGAAATCAAGTGGCCTTCGGCCTTCGCGCGTCTGCTATTCTATAAATATTCGAAAAAAAATATTCCATGGAGAAATCACAATTGGATTGCACATTTTGGGTTTAAATGGGGATTACTAACATACGTATACGGATGACTATATTTATTAATTGCGGTAAAGTATATTGGTAGATGATATTCATAAACAATTGACTTACTTCTGTTGGCATGGGTAAAGGAGTAGCAGATCTAGTTTCATCACTCGAGGAGGACACATTGACAAAGTCAGTTAAGTGTAAAAGCCAAACTGCGGCTTCGACTTTCAACTGCAGCAACATTTGCCGAAGATCTGGCAACGGATAGAAAAACTTCAGGGTATCGCTTGGATCGTGAATCTTTTACTAATGATTTCTGTGTTTCGGAAATTACATTCTTGAACGTCGTTCACAAGGACGGCACTCGATCGGCAGATCAAATAAGGAAAATCATCAACATGCGGCAGTCTCTCGCCATGAATCAACTCCGTGTTAATCAAAATTCTTTAATTTGTTTTGTTGAAGAGATTCTTACGATGTATCTGATCTTGTACACCATTATATAATCGACAACGAAAACTAGTTGATCAGTTGATCCAGGAGATCTTTTGGTAAAATTTCTTTGGCGTGCTTTTGCTAAGCCGATATAGTGACAGTGAAACATGAGATATTTGTAATCCTGGAGAGTAATATGATACTCTTTCGGCTGCAACACATGATTAATCAGTGTTGTTTTAACATTTCTTCAAGAAAAAATCTTTTATTATTGTCTCGTACAGTTAGAATTTTACTATTTTACAAATTCAGAAACAATTTCAATACGTACAAATCATTTCTACCACCCCTCCCTGAATAGCAATTTATTTTAGCACCCAGAATCTGGGAGCCACGTGACCAGCCGGCACCAGGGTCTTTCCGCAGCTTGGGGCGTGCGAAGGTAAGAGCCTGGGTACGAGGTTGGGGCCGGGGCTGGTCCGACTTTCATACTTCCTGCTGTGACTTGAAATGTGATCAGTCATTCTAGTGGATGGAAATTAAATTTACAACGACAAAAACATCCTGGTCTGACAAATTTGACATCATCATGATTGTGTATATAAATTCTGCTCCTGGGTTATTAAATGGAATTTTGTTAATATTTCTAGCTTCTATATCTTTGATTCCTGGAAATGCTTTTGTCTGCCATTCTGAAGCTTCGAGAAATGCTAATGAGGTTTTACAAATCCACATTGTTCCACACACTCATGACGACGTAGGCTGGCTAAAGACGGTCGATCAATATTACTACGGAGCCAATAACAGCATTCAAAGAGCCGGTGTGCAGTACATTCTTGATTCTGTGATACCAGCTTTAGAGGCCAATCCTATGAGGCGTTTTATTTATGTAGAAATGGCATTTTTCAAAAGATGGTGGGTGGAACAGAGCCCCACCATGCAAGCAAGGGTGAAAGCACTTGTCGAGAGGGGTCAATTGGAGTTTGTTAATGGAGGATGGTGCATGAACGATGAGGGAACAACTCATTATAATGCAATCATTGATCAAATGACTCTTGGATTACAATTTATTAATGAAAATTTTGGCTCCAAGGCTCGGCCAAGGGTTGCATGGCATATTGACACATTTGGGCACTCGGCCGAACAGGCTTCCTTGTTCGCGCAGATGTCTTTTGAAGGATTTTTCTTTGCCCGTATTCATTATGCAGACATGGAGAAACGAACCAGGGAACAGCGGATGGAACTCATGTGGCGGGGTAGCAAAAGTCTTGGAAAATCCTCAGAAATTTTCACCGGGGTTTTATACCATCACTACAGCCCACCTACAGGATTCTGTTTTGATATACTCTGTGACGACCCTCCTATTCAAGATGACTCTAGATTATTTGACAAAAATGTTAAAGAACGAGTCGAGTTGTTTATAAACGAAACATGTGAACATGCATTACATTACAAGTCACGCCATATTATGCTTACTATGGGGGATGATTTTAATTATCAAAATGCTGAAATGTGGTTCAAGAATTTGGACAAATTAATTAATTATGTCAATAAGGTATATTGTAAACCTAGTGCAGTTGACAAAGTGACAATACCATCCCTGTCTCATGGATGGATTTACTAGGGGGTGGGGGTGCAGAGGTGTGTGCACCCCTCCTAGTCTTGGCAATTTAAGGGATGCAATTGGGGGTGGGGGTTGCTGATTTCCTTATCAAATCTATTTTTTATCTGTAAAGGTAATATTGTGCAACCCTTTCCATCAAAGTTGTAGGCCCCTCTGAGCTAGATTCTGCCAGGGGCAGTGTTTCACTGGTTGCCCGAACACTGTTTCCTGTATCTCCCTCCAGTGATTACTGGTCAATGGTCACACTGCAAAACATGAACCGAGGCTCAATTAGCACCCTACCAGATCTGACTGGATCCATCCCTCAGAGAATAAACCCCCTTTCCTTTGTAAAGGAAGGAATTTATTAACCCCCCCCCCTGCTTCCCCTTGAATGTATCATTATAGTTGATAATTTTCCTGGAAGTTAATAAGACTCTTAATTAGTAGCTTCCTGTTTTATTGATGTTGCAGCCAAATTATAATGAAGACTCCTTCTCTATAATTAAACTCCATGCACTCTCCAAAATATTCTGCTATTTTTGGATAAGGATGGGGAATGTAAAGCAGTTAGTCTGCAAGCAGGCTCACTGCTTGTGCTTATAGTCTAGGGTTTAACCCTTTAAGTGTCAATTATGTACCCAGATGAGCCCTTCTGTACTTTATGATTTTACTCTGTCTAATGCCAGATGATTTTACTTGTCAAGGAGATTGTGCTGCCAGTCTCAATCAGTTAAATTATTTGTTTAGGATGGTAGAGTGAATGTGTTTTACTCAACACCATCAAATTATGTTGATGCAGTAAAAGGAATTGAGCTGGCGATAAAGACAGATGATTTCTTTCCTTATGCTGACTGCCCTCATTGTTACTGGACTGGATATTTTACTAGTAGGCCTGCATTGAAAGGCTATGTTAGGAGGAATAATAATTTACTACAGGTACATGTAGACTGTCATTTGTGTTGTTCATGCCCATGAATATTAGGGACTATGAGTCTTAGGGACCACCAAGTACTGTGACACAAACCAAATCAATCCGGAAATCAAACTCCAACTGGTATATGACTCAGGTAGAGGTCTAGCATAGGAGGTAAGGGGTCTAGGGACCACCAAGTACTTTGACCCATTTAGACAAATCAATCTAGAAATTAAACTCCAACTGGTACTGGTGACTCAGGCAGATCCTGCCCAGATTGCCTTAATTTGAATTTGGTACAAAAGCTATTTTAGCCTTATTTTAGACTATTTTGGAGACATTCAGTCTAGGTTTAGATGGTACCTTAGAATATAGAGCTCCACTCCCTCCACATGTGCCATCTAAGTGCATATTTTGACATTTTAATTTGGAGCTAGCTCCTTTCACTATAGAGGTGCTCCATGGCTTCATAACTTCTGCAGCCATACATGTATCATGCCAGTGTGCACCAATGCAACCATACAGTAGGCTGCTTATTAATAAATTCACCACATACCACCAGAGGCCCCGGGAATCGATAATAGCGGGGGCAGATATTCATATATTCGTGTTGACAGACTGTAAAAACAATTGATTTCAAAAGAAATTAATTGGGCAGAACACGAATATATGAATATCTCCATTCCGGCGCCTCTGCATACCACATAGGTCGTGGGCTGTTGGCCAAAATTATTTCGCTTCGTGGCACCCATGTGGGAAATACTTGGTTTGGGGTTTATTTGAAAGGCATATAGGTACATCACTACGAAAAAAAAGTTCCCAAGCAAAAAGTTGCCCAATACCGAGAAAATGGGTGATCAATGATTATCCTCTATTAAATTGTATTACAGCAAAAATTGGGAAATTTTATAATTCAATGACAATAAAAATGACTTGCATCATCGGAAAACGTACAAAAACCGCATATAAGACTTTTAAACAGTTTTTTGATTTTTCAAATAGTCTTTGAGTTATTGCTGTTTTAAATGTGAAAATTGGACCAAAATGTCGCAATAAGGACTGGGTACTAGGTCAAAAACGCGTTTTTGACAGCGTATAACTCGAAAACAATTTTAGATATAAAAAACTGTTTAAATGTCTCATATGTAGGTTTTTGTAAGCTTTCTGATGATGCAAGTCATTTTTGTTGTAATTGAATACAAAATTTCACATTTTATTGCTGTACTACAATTTAATAGAGGATAATCACTGATCACCCATTTTCTCGGTGTTGGGCAAGTTTTTTGCTTGGGAACTTTTTGTGGTAAGCATCTATGGTTCTATGTATTGAACCAAAGAAAATCTATTTCCCAGGGGTGCCACGAAATTGCTTTTCTAGGGACCTTTTCGCACAACAGCCCACAGCCTTTTACTACAGTAATACCATGATGACCTCGGGTTCTTTTGTTCTCGCCGGGTGGTTTAATCACGATATTCCCGGCTTAGCGGGGAGATATCTAATTCTCCCGGCAAAGCCGGGCAGATTTCTAATTTCTCCCTGATTAAAAGTCATGAACCAAAATTCAAAGACACGACAAAGAATTTTCTTAATAGCTTTTACACAACAAACAAAATAATTACACTACAATGTTAATGACAGTAAGATAAAGTGTTAATTACTCGACTTATTAATATTCACTTTTCACTAAACATTTCACACAACTATATTATAAAGACAGTAATTTATTTACTCCTATTAATGTTGATGTTCACAGTTCCACAATTAGCTCCTTGTAGTAGTCCGCTCAAATCTATACCCTTTCATCGCTAACCGTCACTGCATCTGCTCTTTTCTTCATTGGGCTTTGGGTGCTCTGTAGTTCTCTGTAGAGCGTTTGCTGAAGCGGCTTAAACTCAGCCGAATTAAACAGGTTTAACAACCACAAGACAGGCTATACATGACTTCATGGCGGTATTCTTTACCGTTTCTCTTCCGTACTTCTAGCGTTAATCGGCTAAACCAGTGATTAATTTCGTCAACGCTCATCTCCTGCAAATCTAGCACACGCTTTAATACTTCACTCTCGGCTTCAAAGTCACGCAACTCGGTATTTCTTGCCTTTGCCCATGCTTTATAAACATTCGTGCTCCACCTAGTGTGTTTGATAGTATTCTCAGGCGTTCTGTTATCTCTAACTTTCTGAACATCGGCTTCCATAACAAACGAGAAACGTTTATCCGCCATATCATTCTTAGTGAGCGTCCAAAAACAAGACTTGAGTTGAGTTAAAAAAAAACAAGACTTGAGTTGAGTTTTATATTCATGTATGCACATGCACCCGGCACTGACACACGTATATTAAGAATTGTTTATTCCCAACGAATTCCCGACAATGGAAAATTGTTGTATACATCACTGATCATGCATTGTATTACACAATACTCGTACTATCAATTAATTTTGAACAATGAAAACACTAGCCTCACCTCGGTCATCATGGTATTACAAACTAATACCATGGTTTTTAAGAATATAGTGATTAAATCTCCCGCGAACCGAGGAGGTTTGTGAAAGTCCCTCGGGACGCCTTCGGGCTTCGCCCTCAGGCTTTCCCTCGGGACTTTCACAAACATCCCTCGGTTTGCGGGAGATTTAATCACTATATTCTTAAAAACCATGGTATTACTTATAATTGAATGTATTATTACACTAGTGCATGTCTAGGTATTTGTCATGTCCATGCATTACACGTATTGTACGTTACAGATAAGAACTTGTCTAGTGCTTTGCAAGCCACGTTTTACTAACTACAACTGCTGTGTGAGCATTATAATTTCCATTGGTCACACTCACAAGCACTAGTAGTGTGTCAAGTGTGATCAATGGTGTGTAAACAACATGAGTTCTTCAGCATCCTTCACGATTCAAAGCTTATATTAATAATAGCTTTGCGAATCATGATATCAACCACTACCCTCTCAGGATCACTTGCGTGAGCATTATAATTTCCATTGAGCACACTCACAAGTACTAGTGCCATCATTGGTGTGTAAATAACATGAGCCTTCAGCAACCTTCAGATCAGGCATTAAAATAAGCGTGTTTTTGACACACTTTGTGTCCTTGTAAAAGGAAAATGTGTCTAGCTTGCAAATTGAAAAGTGTGTACTTGGGACATAAAGCCCAGGAAAATCCATTCCCAGTCATTTTCCCCATGAGCAATTTTGTTTGAAGTAATCATGTCATGTGTTTATTGCCTGAAGATAGCCAGATATATATTTCTGGTTTATGTATTTCTGGTTTTTCTGTTTATAACAAGTCAAGACATGCCTGTAAAATTACCAACGGCTTCAATTATTTTCCTATAGGCGCGGTTTCATGATAATGGCAATATCCGCAGAAATCATGCCACAAAAATCAGGACTCGCCTTTAAGAATTTTCAACAGACGATTGAAAATTTAATTACGAACCATTTAGACTGCATGATTTACGTACTTGTTAGATAGCCTCAATCATTGCGAAAACGGCCCAAAAGTGCCAAAACGGCGCTTCTGCATGTGCCCCGCCCCAATTATAAAATATTTACTGATACCGCACTGAAATATATATGTATTAGCTCAATATATAACTAGTTATTGTTCAAGTTACGGTATTGGTCCGCATTTTACCTATTTGAAACGAATGTTTGCCTTTAAAAGGCACTGAACTTTAACGAATATTCAATAAAGCCTTTTCTTAGTTGACGAGTATTTGTGCTCAAGCTATAGTCTGCCACACTTCCAAGTGATTGTTGCCCTTGGCGTGGACGTAAAGTGTGTCCTTGTAAAAAATCCTTATTTTAATGCCTGCTTCAGATTGAAAGCTTACAATAGCTTCTAAACAATCATATTGTCATCTACTACCATCATCACCATTTCCATCTATGGAATGACATTTCACTATCCATAATCATCAGGTGCATAATTAAACGCGAGGTTCTCTGCAGCCTACAAGATTCAGAATGTAGTTCAAAGAATAATCTTACTGTACGCAGCTCAATATATAATGGACCATTCCCCAATTAATCAAAATTTTGAACTCAACAAGTCTAGACAAAAATTTCATCACAGTTTGAAAGAGCATCACAAAATTAGTAATATTCCCCAAAGTTTCATTGCAAAATGTTGTAAAATGCGGATAATATATATAGCCTTGCGAAGTTTGCAATTTTCAGTCATTTTAGATTACAAACGGGAAATGGTCACCACTTCTGTGCGTAATACAAAATGACTGAAAATGACAAACTTCGCAAGGCTATATTATCCGCATTTTACAACAATTTGCAACGAAACTTTGGAATATTACTAATTTTGTGATGCTCTTTCAAGCTGTGATGAAATTTTTGTTTACTGTAGGCTAGTCAAGATCAAAATTTTGGAAAAGTGGTAACCATTTCCCGTTTGTAATCTAAAATGACTGAAAATTGCAAATTTCGCAAGGCTATATTATCCGCATTTTACAACATTTCGCAACGCGGAAACTTTGGAATATTACTAATTTTGTGATGCTCTTTCATGCCATGATGGAATTTTGTCTAGACTTGTTGAGATCAAAATTTTGGTTAATTGGGGAATGGTCTATTAACCATGGGCCATTTGGCGTCATCATCAAGATCATAGTCAGCACGACCACCACCTGAAAGCCCAAGGCCTAAAAGAAAGGCTGGACAGTCCTAAAGATTCAGAGCCCATTGCAGAGAATTTTCACCATCTCAGATCATCGTGGACTACAACATCTCCACTATTATCACCACAATCATCATCGCCACCACTACTAACCATTATCATTCACAATGGTCATCGATATCGATCATTTCTACTGTATTAATCTATTTCTATTATTCAGCATTCTATTTTAATATTCAAAGCTCAACTCAGAGAATCGTTATGACCAGCTGTCTCATCGCTGAGATCACCAATTCACCATGACCACTCTACTGTCATCACCACCATTATTATCATTTGACACCAGGGGTCATCCTAAGAAAAATTTAGAACTGCCCGTTCGACAAGAACAGATGTGGACACAGGCTAAATGTGTGGCAGTAATGAGAGACGACGAGATAACGGCGTATTGGATACCTGAATAGCTAGGAGGGTCCTGAGACATGCTCTCATTTTGCAAAATGGGAGGCCTTAGGATGACCCCTGTTTGACACCAGCACCATAATCAGGCTAATTAAACAACTTGAATGTGGTTCTGTTCAATCTTCGAGATTCACATCTTAGGCCCCGTTTCCATATACCAGATTCGCTCGTCACGCCATCATCTTCTGCCGTTAAGGAGCAATGGTTAGTAGCAAATGCTTAATTATTAGTTTGACAGAATTCGCATGTTTATTTGGGTCTCTGAGATTAAAAATCTTCACAGCCTTTCAATACCTACAAAATTTGACCCACTCCGATAGCAATCCGGTATAGTGTAAACGGGGCCTTAGTTCAGCGAAACACTTTCACCACACCAGCGCACATCACCAGAACTATCCCCCTTTTTACCATCACTAGCATCATCATCACCGCTACACTTTGAATATGATATTTTTCTATCTATCAATTATCATCAGGTGTGTAAACAACTTGAAGTCCTGGGCAATCTTGAAGATTCGGAGCACAGTTCACAAACACTACGAGATGCTATGGCTGTAGCTCAACATCATGATGCTGTAACTGGAACAGAAAAACAGCATGTTGCATATGATTATGCCAAGCGTCTGGCAATGGGTGCCGAACAATGCAAGGTGAGTAAAGTTGAGATTCTCCCCAACTTGGAATAGGCAAATCCAGCGAAAGACTAAATTTTGATCTAAGCAAGAACAAAATCCATCACCACAGCTAGAAAGCATGTTAAAATTAGTAAAATTGCAAAGTTTGGCCGCGAAATGTTGTAAAATGAGGAAAAGGCAGCCCAGGGATATTTGCAAATTTTGTATTCATTTGTATTACGCGCGGGAAAATACGCCACGTTTGGGCCGAAAGTGATGCATTTTCCCATGCGTGATGCACATTAATACAAAATTTGCAAATTTCGTAGGGCTATATTTTCCTCATTTTGACAACATTTCGCGACCAAACTTTGCAATTTTACTAATTTTAACATGCTCTTTCTAGCTCTGGTGATGGATTTTGTTCTTCTTGCCTAGATCAAAATTTAGTCTATAGCTGGAATTGCTTATTATCCACCCTCACCTTTGCATATCTGGACTATTTTAGATGGTCATCAGCTCTGCCCTGACCAAAATCACCCGAAGGGAAAATTCTGAAGCTGATATTCAATACACTTTCTGTGATTATCTTAATATCAGTGTATGTCGTGGCACAGAAACTCGCAAGTCGTTTACTATCACCGTATACAACCCTGTTGCTCGGATAGTCGACACAATTATCCGTGTTCCAGTATTCAGTAAACACGTGCAGGTTTTTGGTGTGGATAGTAAACCAGTTCGTTTTGCAATACAACCAGTAACAGAAGTCACCAGGTTTGTCCGAGGCACACTTGGTGATGCTCCTTACGTGTTGGTGTTTCCTGCTGTAAGCGTACCACCACTTGGCTTGGCTATGTATCAAGTAAATGTTACCCCAAAAGCGGGAAAATCCATTGGCAATACTCGGAGTAGTTCTAAAAAACGCGAGTTGAAGGCAAACAGTGTTGATTATATTATTGAAAACAAGCATCTTCGATTAACATTTTCAAATAAGAACGGTCGTCTGGTTGAAATTGAGAATTTAGAATCCCAAATCAAGCAATCGGTTGACCAACAATTCTTTTGGTATAATTCCAGCGTTGGGAATAACGTGAGTGACCAAGCGTCTAATGCTTACAATTTCAGACCAAATTCGAGTACACATTTTAATGTCAGCGTTGACAACCGTGCAAAGATTACGGTATTTAAGAGTAACGTGGTACAAGAGATCCATCAGGTGTTCAGTCCTTGGGTGAGTCAGGTTGTCCGGTTGTATCCGAACAAACCGTTTGCGGAATTTGAATACACCATTGGGCCAATCAAAATGTCTCCTGAACTGGGCAAGGAGGTGATATCAAGGTTTGATACCAGTTTAAACACGAATGGTGTTTTCTACACGGACGCAAATGGACGTGAAATGCAGAGAAGGAAACGTGATTATCGTCCTACCTGGTCTTATGAAGGTAAGTACTAGCTGTGTGGATTATTTAATACGTATATTTAGCAATTATTGGATGAGGCTGAGCAGGATATCCAGAATTATCCTGAATAATTCTGGTATCCTGAATAATTCTGGTATCCTGCGCAAGCCGAATTCAATAATTATTTTATTATTCATTTTGTGACAGAAAGAAAACAAAACAAGCAACAATTGAAAACAAATAAATATTCATTGAATTAACTTTTCGTAAATTCAACTAAAAATTTGCCGCCAATTTGTATTTTCACATAAAATACCGCTGAAATATCTCGGGCGCCGCCCAATAACCTCTGCAGATTACTGTTTACGCTGGAAATAGCGCAGGCACCTACAAATACCCAAAATTATTTGTAGGCTCTTGGCCAATGAAAAATCGAGAGCACAGTACAATAAGTAATAAATTACTATAATTAGTATACACTCAACCATGGTCTATTACAAAATCCAGCATTGCCTTCGGCCATTCAACCATGGACCATTTCGTAACGGACCACGGTTGAGAAAAAACCAAATTTGGAGAAAACATAGGGGAAATCTTTCGTTCTGCAAACACGTTTGCAAAAACGAAGAATTTTGTAGAAAATTTAAATTTTAACTTTTGCCTATTAAAATTTTAACTCAGCCTCAGGCCTTAATTGCCTTCCTTGACTATTCGCTCACAGACAACTCGACCTCGTTGTCTAATTGTTAAAATCCATTCACGACAAGAAGTTTATTTAGTCAGTCAGCTCAATTGGTGACGAGCACTTGTTTTTCTGGTGACTCGCCTGACACAAACTGTCTTCTCCAGGTACAACTACGTCCTCAGAGCCTCGGGGACGGAGTTGGTTCAGGAAAACTATAACATTACTCCTACATAGTAGCACTAAAGAAACTAGAGATAGATTCCAGCTGATGTGTCACCGGGCTAGTAAAATGATGTACTGTGCCTCAGAGTAGCCTCATCTAAATGATTTAATATAAATCATCCAAGGCCGAGTTCTAATAATGCAACAATCAATATCCCTCTCGTTTTACTCTAGATAAAGAACCTGTAGCAGGGAACTATTACCCAGTGAACAGTCGTGCTTACATTAAGGATGACACTGGAATTCAACTGACCGTTATGACAGACCGCTCAGTAGGAAGCTCCAGTATAAAGGATGGTTCTTTAAAGTTCATGGTTCACCGTAGGTTACTTTATAACGATGGTACTGTTGATGGTGAACCGTTAAACGAACCAGGCCGAGACGGTCACGGTCTTATCGTTCGAGGTCGGTTTTTGGTTTTACTTGAAGCTTCCAAAAATTCTGCTAGACTACATCGCCTTATTGGTGAGGAAGAATTTATGCGACCGTTACTCTCGTTTTCAGAAGGCGCTGGAAGTTGGGCTCAGTATCACTACCACCTTAAACAACGCTACCAAATTTTGCAAGGCCATACAAGCGAGGGAGATTACCATGGTTACCAAGAAGAAAGTGGGTACCAGGCCTTAACTCGGCCGCTACCAGCTAATGTTCATCTTTTAACATTAGAAAAGCATGGCAAGGTTTTGCTGTTACGGCTGGAACATCAGTTTGCTGTTGGCGAAGATGACGAACTTTCAAAACCTGTCTCAGTTCAACTAAAAGGTTTGTTTAGCGACTTTACCATCCTCTCCGTGACTGAACTCAATCTGAGTGCAAACCTGGTTAAGACCGAGCTTAAAAATGCAGTAGACTGGGGAGGAGCTTTCCGAGAAAACAGGATTTCGAATGATAGTTTTGACGTCACGTTGAACGCGATGGAAATCAGAACATTTAAGATTGATGTTGAATGGAAGCAAAGCCACAGATACTGATTAAAATTAACCAGGGAGACTAGACTATTCTATCTGATGCTTCAGTGATAATTACTTCCATAAATGGATTTTTTGTTCTCTTTTAAAAAAGGGTGCATAACACACGAATTTTACGTTATTTTCGTAAATTTTACTCAAGTATTTTAACTCCAATTTTGGAGACATTTTACTCCACAACTGGAGTACTAGTAAAAACCATTCCTATTGGAGTATTTACTCCAATATTGGAGTTAAAATACCGAAGTAAAATTCACCGCAAAAAAGGAGTTGTTCTGTATCTTTTTTCTTTACTCCAAATCAAAATGACTCCTTAGGAGTCAAAGTGACTCCTATACATTGGAGTAAAGAAAAGTCCTTAATTAACCTTAGAAATCAATAAAAACATTTTTCAAGTCAGTGACGAGCATAACATGAACTCTCGAACACATTCCAAATGACTAAGTCAAAAGGTACCACGCGCCATACTATACTTAAATATTTACATACCACCGTTATCACGCAGATGTATACGAAAGTGACGTTCCTTTTAACAAAAATATTCATTTTATTGCTGTTTAATTAAATTACATAAAAAATTAATAAATTATTTGCTGTTGGTAATTATAATTTACAATTTGATTCGACTAATTACATATTTCAATCAATGTATAAAAACTTCGGGAAAAATTGTTTAAAATGGAAAATTCATGTTGCATTATCATATAGTGAAAATATTTTACAAGAAATTGGACGTACGGTAAACTACAGTGCACGTCCGGTCACGATAAGATTTTACGTATGAATGATTGTATAAATTAGACAACTTAGATATAGCTGCACTCAGATATAGCTAGACTTGCTAAAAGTCGACTCGTATTATTTAGCTTATTTCGCTCAAGCTCCCTCATTCCTTGTTTATTCGCTCACCAGTTTTACTCCTTGCAATAAGAGACAAATTACAACGCGTTACGACTGCCTCACACCCTGTCGCTGTCACGTGGTCATTGCGTGGGCAACGTGGATTAACTTAATCGATTTCGTGGTGAAGTTTCCCACCGAATCAACCAAATTTTCAGCTTTCCTCCCTCGCGTGCCGTCCGCATGCGCTTGATAACGTGATAAACAAACCAAGCGCCTGTGTCCGAGGCAAGAACTATATGACGCAAGTCGACTTGTGGCAAGTCCAGTGAGCTCAATATATATCTGGAGCAAGAACTTCAGTCATTCGGCCTGCGAGAAAAGTGAAGCCAAGATGGCGGCCCATTGACGTCCAATAGATCTGAAGGTCGTAAACAGGTTATATACCATTTTCCCCACTGAGCTAATTCCAGTTTTTTTCTAACGGACCGTATCGCAAACCAAGTTTTCAGTTCATAAAACCAGTGTTATTCTTTAAATGGATGTCAAAATACGACATTTCAGCACGTTGCTTGCCAAGATGGCGGACATTGAAGGAGCTAGCGGTTGACTCGAGTTATCGCTCCAGATATATATGGAGCACACTGGGAAAGTCCAAGATATAGCCAGGATAGTACAAGCCTTTGTCCCAGGATGCGTACAACGAGGAAACCTAAACAAAAACATATACTGCTATTCAGTGAAGAGACTGAAGTACATGCATTAATGTACATATTATCAACCAAGATGTGTTCCCACGTCAAGCTTGACGACATGTTTTATCCATATATACAGGGGGAATGCATTTATCTTTTCGATATGTAAGCGTAAAAACCATATTGTTGTAAATAAATTCATACTTAATACGTCCTGATTCCGGCTTTATCGGATTATAATAAGGTAGCTCAAAACTCATAAGCCTCTTGGTTTCATTTGGGCTTCCTTGCCTTAATACTATAACTATTATATTTATATTTTTTATATTTACTATATGTGTGGCAAAATAAATTGACTTGACTTGGAATCTGGGTAATAAATAATTAGCAAAACACAAAGGAAACCAGCACCGTATCTTGATAACTCGATAATAAACACCCATTAACTCAACTATCGCTTCGATTTTCTTTTTAAATAGAAGTCCGTTTGAGATGTAAGCTAGGAACAGACAGACTAGAATTTCCTACTATTGGCTTGCAGTGGTAGAACCACAGGTCATGTTCCATGCGGTCATAGAAAAAGCAAAAACAAAGTAGGAAATTGTTCTCATACACATAACTTACAGATTAATCCTCTAATTGAGAAATACTCTATATAGCCCGCTATTCAGTTCTTCGTGTCTGTTGAAAAAAATTGATGTTAAATTATTAGTACATTATATGTCAGACCAACTCATATTTTGTTCGGACATGGTCGGACACGAATTATTTACAGAACTCAAAATGGAAAAGCTGTACAGTACATCACATTGTAATTATTTCACTTGCATATTTTCACTGGAATGAGGGGGTAGTTAATTAAATAGACCTTATGCACAATGACGTCACAAGGAATTCTGGTGTTAGCCACGGTGGAAAAATCCTAGTGGAAAGTTCAAAACAATCGAACATGGCTACTGTCGAATGCGAGTGTGCTGTCGTCTTTTCATTCTTTTGGCGGCTGTTCAAGCCAATGAAGACCAACACCGCGGAAAAACGTCTGCGCCATCCTCGTACCCAGGGTCTTTTTGGGAAAGACCCTGGTATTGTATGGTCACGTGACTCTACAAAAATTAATTGCCCAAGGGGGAGTGGCAAAGTATCAAATTACATGCTTGAAAATGTTACTGTAAATTTCAAATACCAGGAGTGGGATTTTACGATACATAGTTCGTAAACTAGATAACGTCTATTTTATACTTCTGTTTGCTTTTAAATTACAAAAGCATTGTAGCATTTTATCAACAGTCAAGTCAAGAAACAAATAAATCGTATACTTTAAAGTTTGAAGTTGGGTATTCTCTCTCTCAAACATATTTTCATATATCAAACCGGTCAGTCGTCAACGTTTGTATATTTTCGCTTTTATCTGTTTCTAAAATATGCCATTTATAGATTTGTTGTTTGCAAACGTTGATAACCTTTGTGCCGATTTTAATACTAATAGTGCGCGTCTTGTTTATTGAAGGTTGATAGATTTTGAAACGTAACTTTTTGTCACAAACAGAGACTGAATGCTCACTTTAAAACTGTTGATGATTTATCTTTCAAAATACTTTTAATTCACTAGTTCATCACTTCATCATATTTGAAACTTGTAGATAGGTAGGAGGTTGGCAGGTAGTAAAGTATAAAAATTTTCAGATGAATGTACAAAAATTCTCAGCCTCAGGGAAATGCGTATATCAGGCGGTATAGACAAAATTACGGCTTTAGCCTTTTTTTCGGCCTACAGCAATATTTATAAAAATATTTTTCTGATATATAGTACACATTTTATAACACGAAGATAGTTATATATATTTCCATAAACCACGGCATAAACACTGATATGCACATGCAGTCATACTGGCCCATACACACTGATATGGACTGATATGCACATGCAGATTAACACTTACTTATAATTAGAGTCTTAGAGTTTGATTACTTCACATTAATATTTAACGCGTTTTCTTCGAGAACAAACCGTTTATCTCTAGTGCAACATAGTTAGACTCTAAATCTAAATATGTATATTAACACAACATATATTGATCTCTAAACAGACTAACAGGCAGTGTCCCACACCAGCATGCATAATAGCCTATGTATGAACATCGATCAACAAATTACAGTAAAGCGAATGTCACAACGGTCACAATTAAAGCTCTATTCATCAAAATTATTATGTTGGTCTGTATTCTCTAATGTCAAACATAAGTTACGAATATTCAGTCATATATATACAGTATTTGTATAAACATATACACACAGAAGAGTCTTTGCCTTTGACTTATCTTTGAGTAGGCTATTGTCGGATTATTTTACCGTAGGTTTGATAATAGAGAGGTATACTTCAACATATTTCTTGAGCATCAATGAAGTTTCATGCAACGAAGTCAATGGCAATGTTGGAAATTTCACAGCGCTTTGAATAACAGTCCGAGTAGCATTGTTTACAAGCAAGGTTTGTTCCGTTTGTAGTTTGCGATATTACAGAAATTGAAAAGATCTCTCTATTTCGTTACAATTCCACATCTCAGTATTAAATAAATCTTTTAGGATGGACTTCAACAGGTTAATAACAGCTACAACGGTCGGTCTGGAAATATATTTTCTTGTAACGTTTGCGACGACGTGCAATTTCTTCGACGAGCCGTACCGTATTTACTCGTTTAAGCGCCGCGGCGCTCTTTAAATTTCCATAGCTTCAGATGCGGCGCTCATTAAAAAATATTTTATTTGTGAATTATGACAAGAACTTTTAACTATAAAATAGACAAGTTTTAAAAGGTTTTTGTTACTAAATGTCCCCATTTTGACGGCGGAAAGTTTTTACACTGTTTAGTGCGGCGCTCATTCGGAAGCGGCGCTCTTTAAAAAAATTTGATCTCAAATGCGGCGCTCATTCGGGGGCGGCGCTCAATCGAGTAAATACGGTATATCACACCTTGTATATTGAACTCTGATATATCTTTGCTCACCGACATTCTGGGCACAATGACATTTGATATTTCTAATTGTGTAACTGGACAGTATTCATGACAAATAAAATATACAATCTTGTAAATATTTCCTGCATGATGTCTTATGATGTCTCTGCGTTATTTCTTCGCTCACTCCTTGCTCAGTGACAAAACGCTACTTAGTTACCCACCCTAATAGAAATTTATTGTTACCTCCCAGATTCTGGGAGACACGTGACCAGACAATACCAGGGTATTTTCTCAGCAGGTGGCCGTGCACCGAGTATAAGAGAACATAGCCTGGGTACGAGGTTGCGTCTGCGCATGCGTCAACATTACTGAAATCTGTTTTGCGCACGTGATGTCAAGTGCTCCGAATCTTGTCAAAAACTCAAAATGGAAGCGACTCCGATGTTTTGCCTTTTCTATGAAAATGCAAGCGGAATAATGAATGTGACAACCTAAAAACTAGAAATAATTATAGTGTACATGTGCAAGAAGTAGTATTATGCAAGAAAATAAACCAAAGGTGACTGTCGATAAATTTATTGTATAAAACGTACGCGCGTTCTTTAACTGAACCATACAAAGATATTTTTCCTAGGTTCATATGATCCACATTTTTGTCAATAACGTTTTTGCGTAGCATGTATACTTTTGCATTGACTATATTTAAGGGTAATGATTTACTCTACAATTTAATCGTGTGCATGCAAATGCTTAACTATTCTATAATTTTCTTAACTTTTCTGTTTTAAGTTTGGTTTTCGACAATTTTTCAAGAAATGTTCACACGCCTCCCGGTCTTAAACGGTAATTTTTAATTTAAATTCCGTTTCTTTTTAGGTTTTAAATGTTAAAAACTTTTTATTCATATCTAAACTACCCGTCTAGTGTATTTTTTGTTTGTTTCAATTACCTTAAATCATTAAATAGTCATGTTTTTGTTTACAATTTGGTATTTAAATTCCTCGCCATTTTTTGTGCCCCGCGCAGACGTTTTTCCGCGGTGTTATGAAGACCCTAGTTCTTTCCATAACTCGTGCGCGAGTCTTCATAGGTTTGACAGCCCTGAAAGTAACGGCAACAGCCTGCTTTCATCGACCAGTACGAGTAAAAGAAGTGGTGGTTTTACGTGTTGTATTGCTGGTTGTTGTACCAACAATAAAAGAAACCCCGAACTATAGTCGGTTATATATATAAAGGGGTTATATTCTGTGCTTTTATTGTTAGTCTATAATTGATTTCGTTGGTGTACGCTTCCGAACATTCAAATATGGCAGCTGGTTCATGCAAAGAACACAACTCTATGGCCAGTTGTTGGAGAGAAATCTTTGCATCCATGTCTGTGAAGAGCAATCATTAAATAGTATGCATATCAGCGTTTTGCTCGGAAAATGGATTCCCAATATTATCATTTAATTGGGTAGATTAAATGCACGGAAGTGAAAATCGGAACCTCTCTAATGTGAACATTGATAAGAAAATTAGCATTCTCCTTGGCCAAAGAAAAATAAAGAAAATACTTCAAATAAAAGCATGCATTTTGTGTACACGAAATTTGAGTGATAAATGCAGTGATTTTACTCTAAGTAAGTTGATCAGTTGAGGGCCGGAATTCTGGAAATGGATTGTAGTAAACCTATTCCTGCTTTAAACAGCTGACATCAGATATAAATGTACCTGTATCCATGTCGTTTAAGATAATCCATGACTGCAGGTTTAATGCGCGCTTTACCATCACGACTGCGATTACCGCGACCAGTTATGACTTCGAGATATGATGGAGACTTTCTATTGGGGGTTCTCCGCTCTAAAAAGAACACGTGGTATCAGGTATATAATTATATCAATATATCAACTGTCATGCCTGTTGATTTCATTTTTGTAGAGGTATAGCCGCCAATCTTGGAATGGAGCTTTGCACGAACTTTGGGCTCAGATAACTGGCTGCACATGATTTTTGGAGTTGTTTAGTGTAGGTTTAGAAAGGTAGCTCCACTGCCTTTCACAGATGCATGTGTATACCTGTGTCAAACACCGAAACACACAGCTTTTCTTCGAACGCCTTTGGGTTAAGATTTGATCACAGAAAGCGTATGCAAAATATTCAAAAAAAATATTCCAAATAAAATAACTCAATTCAAAATGAAACGATATATTATAGAAGGATGCGGTACAGTCTGTTAGCAAGCGTCAACTTTGTTGACATTTTTTTATCCAACTATTGAACTTTATAAAATGAAGTGCATGATGAGAACTTCAAATACTTAATTTCCTGTTTCCAGAGTAAAGGTAGCACCGATCGGCCTTTATACAAGAACATGGAGTCACGAAAGTCCTTAATTTTCACTTTGCAAATAAAATATTCAAAATCCTTATTTTAAAAAAAGTACGATCGTACTATAGTGGACCAGGAACTGCGTGACCCAGTTTCGATCTTGTGCAAATCGTTAAAAGTTCAAAACCTTCGAGACTTTGACTTGATAAACAAATAACTATACACTTGTGAAACTAATGTTCTCGAAGTTGGCAACTAAATGTTTTGCTTTAATTTGGTCATGCATGCAAGGTATACTTTATCCGGGCAAAATGTCAGTCTAGTGCCGTGTATAAATGAGGTGTAAATCTGGACAAAGCATTGATAACTAAATGCGCAGTTTTCAAAAGTATTTCCTTGCATTTGAATTCGATAGATAAGTTAAATGTCCCACAATATTTAGAAAAAACATGCCGTGTCAGCTAACTTTTGCCGTGCATCAAATTTTGCCGTGCCGTGCGTGCCATTAATTGCAGCTACAGTCGTGCACGTGCAGTACGTGCCGTGTACGGGGCTTAAGTTAAGGTAACAAATTATCTGAATTGTTGCTAGGTTAATGCAATTTCATCTCGCTTAGTCATGGCTTCATAACTGCATGCTTGTGCTAAAAACAAATTTACATGTCTTTGTTTTTACGGTTCACGATTTTCTATCGGACTATGAAGAATATTATACTTTATTTTTCACCTTGCTCGGTTTCCTTTGTTCTTGTCGGGGAATATAATCAATATTCCCCTCTAATCAATTTCCGTTAAATAATCCCCTCTAATATTCACCTGCAATTAATAATCCCCTCTAATATTCACCTGCAATGTCTTTGCAGCACAAAAAATGAGAAAAAACAACATCGCGAAGGCAATATGGCATTAAGAATTCTTTCTTTTCTGACTCATTAACGCGACCTCGCAGTGTGAAAAATAAGTACGTTATTTTGAGGCACCTCGGGGATATGTGTTTATTATCCCCTTGTTGCCTCAAAATAACCTATACGTACTGTATAATAGCCAGATAGCAATATTACTCCTCTGCGCTTTGAGAAACTAAGCCAGCGCGTGTTAAATTTACTAGTCACTTATATGCTTTCACATTCTCACTCTCGAGAAGCTTTAGACTATCGTGATTGTGTTCACAACAATAGACAAGACAATGTCTTTCTTATCGTTTGCGTTTGCTGATATATTTGCTGAATATTAATGATATGTATATATTATTTGCTACAAATACAGTCAAAAATTGCTTGTATCTTGCTTCTAAAGTCAAAAATGAAAAATCGAACACCGTCAATCGATGCGGAATATTGCTAAGAATAATTGTGTTAAATTTCATTCTGATCAGACAAGTAACGACGGAGCCTTAGGCTTTTTTCAAAGAGCGTCGCCCCCCTAACAACAAGAAGAAGATGATTAGCAGCGATTGGGGACCAAAAGTACATTAGTTCATGAAAACTCTCTAACTTTAATGAACTATACAATCGCTTATATTCTTCTTTCATGCAGACACTCAGTCTAAATCACTTCAGTTTCCATAATTTTAGTAGTAGCAATTATTGCATGGAGATAAAATTACATACATACATCATGAATAGCCATTAAAGGGAAGAGTCTGTGCTAGTGTAGGTAGTGTTACGGAACTTCTTGGCGCAGCAAGCACAAAACGCGAGCGCGCAATATTTGAATAAATTGCGCGATATTGTATGACGTAAACCGAAAGCGTTCAGTACGTTCAGCACGTACGTTTCAGAACCGAAAGGATGAATATTACAAACGTGACTAAGGGAAAGAACATTCTTTTGTAAAAGATGACGTGCAATTCTTCCTAGATTTAGACTATATATATATATAGTAATACTACTAGTACTATATATGAAAGTGTCACAGAGAGTGCTAGAGAATGTCAGAGTTTTTAAAGATTGTTTTAAAGATCCCACATAGAATGTATATAGAATTGGCTAGATTGATTGATTGATTGTAAAAGATTGTTGGAAAAAACGAAAATTAGAAAAACAAATACGGTTCCAGTAGTTTGTTGACTGGACCAGCAAGCGGAAAATTCTTATCGTTTTAACCGAATTTGTGAGAAGAATTTATAACAGGTAGTAACAATAACCTAGCTGGACGAAGGGCCTTCGGTCGAAACGTCGACGTTTTGGTTGAGTTATTCAGGTAGTTGAATCCCTGTCAATCCACAGGAAAGAATCCTGGAGAACCTAGTTAAACTGTTTGTATCACGAGCTAGAGACTGGAAGGTACGCATGCACAGAACAGATATCAATTAATCCACAGTTTTCTGGTCTTAAAGGAAAGAATCCTGGAGAACCTAGTTAAACTGTTTGTATCACGAGCTAGAGACTGGAAGGTACACATACACAGAACAGATATCATATTGTGTTTACCTTTCCGTTTTTCCTCCAGAACATTATCTAAGACTTGGATCGCTTCCTTTACATGCAGTTCGTGAAGATCTAACGTGTTCGAATGAACCAAGTCGTGATTTCTGAAAGATAATATCGTATAGGGTGAAACGAATTAATAAAGAATTATTAATCCATTGGTTTACGAAAAGTAATAAATCTACAAAAGATTTTCTACCGAGTGAGTCAGACAACTGATTAATTTTGCTTTAAGAAGCCAATCACAAAGCATGTTCATTTAAGGTGACAAAAAAACAGGAGTCACCTGCTCTCCAAAATCTTCTCTGCTGCACGACGGTTGGCTTCTTTAATCTTTTCGTCATGGTGTCTAGCCTGTAAAAATATTATAGATAGATCTGATTGTTGGCTAGAAATGAGACAACTTTGTGACGATATGCAGGTATATGGCCAGGCCACTTTTGAATTTAAACGGGGACTTTTTAATACACGGCCATGGGAGGCCAAAGAAAGTTTTCTTTAAACAGTATATAACCATGCAGCAAGCTTTGTGATATTTCTTGAACACCTCAAAAGTTGTCAGCTGCTGTTTACTTTATCTATTGCAAACGTTTCGATACTTTTTTGTCGATATCATGCTTTACTATATGACAATGACGTGATTTTACCAAATAAGGCCATGAGAACACGAAAAATCCGAGAGCGGATTACACGGTAAAAAGCCGTACTGTCCTCTTGAGGTGTGCATCGGATCGGATTGCACGTTTATAATCCGACAATTGCCTAATGTTTAAAATCCGACCCGATCCGAAATTGTCTAATCCGATCCGAGTTTTGATAAAGAATTCCAATCCGATCCGATGAATTCTTTAATAAAATAAATTTCTCATTCAAGTTGAAATATTCAACCAAATAAATATTAAAGCAAGAAATACATGTCAAGAAGCTGACAAAGTGACGTCCAATTGACTAATATCAAACGAATAATGCAGCGACATTACAACCGCGATGATGCTTTGATAAATGCATGGATAATTACTTCTTGCGATAATGCGCGGATAATTAATTCATTTTATTTCGGATATCGAAGTCCGATCCGATCCGACTACGAAACAACTTGATCAATCCGATCCGATATGAGTATTTTGGTTCCGAAATCCGAACGAATCCGATCGGATCGGATTTGCCTCTACTGCCCTCGTCAAAAGAGGTTTTTTTCTGGTTAGGACGAAGCAAAAATCCGAATTTTTTAGTGAAAACACACTAGGGAAGAACACTAGGTCAAAAACGACTCCTTGGCAGGAACTGAACCTGTCAGAAGTGAATTGAACTGACACGTCACTGATTTTATGTGAAATAAAAGTCTTTGATAGCAAAGAAAATTTAAAGAAAATTAATCCAATTGACCCACCTGGTCTGCATATATTTTAGCCAGCTCTCCTTGCCTTTTGCTGTAAGCTATAGCTGCCTTCTTAATGCACTCAGTTCTCAATTCAAAATGTGTTTGAGCTTCAGCACGATAATCTTGGTAAGATGGATCGTGCAGTGACTGGAAATTTCCATCCACGTCCGTCTGGAAATCTGAAATAATTCACGTCGTTAATAGGTCATACTAATCCTAATAACGTAGCATAACACAACATGAAAGGGTATATAACAAAGTGTAACATAAAATATTTTATTATAACATAAAGCCATTTCATGTGCTATATGTGCTAGCTCGACTACTTAAGGTTACAGAACACCTTTGAGTGTTAATTTTGCCTAAAATTTTTTTATTGGTTTCCATGAAAGCATTAGACTAGTCCTACTGTCTGACAAAGTTTGAACGAAAAATGTTGAAACCTCGCAGAGTTATTCAATAAAATACATTTTGCTGCAATAAGAAAAACATTGAAAATGTAATATTCAAATTCAATTTCCCCCCGAAACATTTTACGGTAATTATTGATTTTCAAACGAGTTATTCTCCTGCGGGTTTTAACGAATTTTTCTCAAATTTTCACAGGACATAGCTAAAGGCGTCAGTTGCAAAATTGTGTTCGGCTTTGTTCTAATTTTGGATATTTTAATAATAAAGAGCAATTCACTCAAACGATTCAGAAATATATTGCAGTCATCAAAAAAATCTCCATATCAGCGCAATGACGAAATAAACAAAAATTTCTGAACACAATTTTTTAGAGCAACTATTTTACTGTATAAAAATGATATTTTCATAAATATATCTAAAACCAGCAGGAACACAACTCAAAAGCGTAAAGGTACCGCGATTTAAGATTTTCCTGAATAATTCTTACATTATTTTATTGTTTGTCAATTTTACAACTTTACCATATTTTGCATGCACTGGCTAACATTTGGTGAAAACTTGACGAAAATCGGACTGATTTTGAGCGCGCAGTAGCGATTTTCCGCAAAACGCCAAAAAGGGTGTCCTGTAACCTTAAATCAAATCAAAATTACATCAAAATTTAACCACCAAAATTAAAGTAAAAATAAATACTTAAAGTTAAAAAGACTTGAAAAAGGTATTGAGCTAACAATGATATAGGCTAACCAGCCAAACTAAATTTTAATGAATTTTCAAATACACGGAAATCAATCGACCCAAATGAATAAATATGCAATAATGGACCTCCGATAAAGCAGGTAAAACTCAGCAGCGCGCTAACCGCGTATACTGTACATACCTGCTGAATTTTCTGATTGGAAATCACTCTAAACATCAAATATAAGGGGAAAACGTTAAGTACACCTGACAGACAGGATGTAGATATTCTCCCACAAATATTTTCGTGGAAAACCACAAATTTAAGAAGCTTAAGAGTGAATGTCAGTAAAAATCGAACATATGAGATATTTCGCGGCCACGACTGAAAAATCGATTTTGCTCAAATTTTGCCCAGATATACCTTATTATATCGGAAAATGCACCATATATTTTTTTAGGCCAAATGCTTTTTTAACTTTGAGAAAATGCCGTTTTAACACGACCACCCTAAATTGCCATTTTGTCTGGGAAAATATGCGCTGATTTTACCGACAAATTTCACGACGACAACCGTTTATAATCGATCTAAAACCCTAAAAATCTTGTTTTCGGTTATTCAAAGGACCGGGTACGTGACTTACAAGAAATCTGAGTTACTTTTAGGAATAGAAATAATCGTAGTTTTGGAGCACACTATCTTACTTCATTTACGATACCCTCTTAACAAAACCGATTTTCACTATGGGATAAAGCTCCAAATCGATCATGCTTCTACTAGTTGGCTCTTTAATAAACGAGCTTTCAATTGACGTTAATACTTCTTTGGGCAAATGAATACGCGATAAACGACAGCGCGCTGAAATCGTCCGTTTTTGACGTCTTGCAAGCAAACGCTGTTAATTTACATACCGTCGAAGTAAACAATTTAATCAAGTATTCTAAGTATTTTACCTTTTGAGAAGAAGATATATTCTTGAATGGAGACTTTTTGCCTTGCTAAGTTTAAAATTGGTCCAAAAATCCCGATATATTTGTAAAATATCATCATATACAGGTATTTTGAGATATAATATTGTTGTCAGTTGCATAATAACTTCAGATCACTGTTCAATATTGTCTACTTTTAATAGCGCTAACATACAAATCGATGAGCTGTTTAGGGATTATATTTGCTACTAAATTTCCCAAAATTAGAACTTCAGTTGTTCTTTTGTTCCAGTTTGATCCATATAATGTACCATTTTACATATCGACTATGCTATCGAGTATAAATGTTTACGAATTCATAAGTTAATTATTAAGCAGCTGTTAATAGCGTGCGTGTGAAATGAACATTAATCCATACAAGCTTTGTTATTTTATTACATATTCTACCACCTCAAACTCAAATTATAGCAAATAGTTTAGAATAATTATTTTAATGTGTGTTCACTTTGATGCTCAGTTAAAATAATCAGTAAAATTACTTTCTTTTGATACACTATTGTTTATTGATCTTATTATATTCCACAAGTACTAGTAACCCAAAAATACAGCATTGAGATATGTTACCCCAGTGCGACACCAGAAATTATTATTGTCTCCCCACACGTCGCGTTTAAAAGAAATGGAAGCTTGTTGCTCGTTTAACGCCGGATTAACCATGTGTCAGATGCGGCAAATGCCACGGGCCTCGCGCTTATGGGGGCATTGCGCTTTACTGTGCCACGCCCATTTTTACGAGAACACGGCCATTTTCTATTGGGACACACCCATTTTAGGTGCCTCGCGAATTTAGGGTCCCTAGGCTTGGCAGTTGGCCCCAGCACGGCCCGGGGAAGATATGCAATACTCGTGTGCATATAATCTCCAGTTGCGTTGAGCTGTTATATTATGATCCTGTTTATACATGTTGACCCAACAACTGGGCCAGGCAGGCCATTGTCTCGTTTATAATTGATGCTAATAAATTGAAATATTGAAAAAAATTATTTAACAATTTTGTGTGTCTTTAAATTCAAAGGTTTTCATAACAAGGCTGAGCGTGGGGGTGGGGAGGGGGTTGGGGCCTCGCGCTAAAATCTGCCACGAGCCTCGCGCGACGTTAATCCGGCCCTGGTCACTTGTCGGTAGTTCTTGTGGTTTTAATGCCAATTGCCAAAGAACGAAAGAGAGCACCGATGACTTCCCCCGTCGGAGAATTACTGGCGCAGCCCAGGCCAGCTCAGTGAAATATGGGGGCCCAGGGCCAATTATATCTTTGGGGCCCCGGTGAACCACAATAATTCCCCTCCCACCCCTCCGTCGACAAACTTTTTACCCCCTTGCAAATTTGTATTTGCCGGCCCTCCTTGAGCTGGGGTCGCGGAGAAAATTGCTCCCTTTGCCCCCCCCCCCGTGCATGGGTGGCCCTGGCGCCACCCCTGTCTTATCATAACTATCTACTTCAAATAATTTTTAAAGCCCTGTTCTTTTTCAAGTAGTTTTTTTTCCCGAAAAAGTAAAAGACTTAGAAATGGTGATTAAATTATTTACTACGGTATGTTATTTAATAACGAGCAAGGGTTATGGTAGGGATTTAAGTTATAAAGTTGGTGTTTGGAATAGGGTTAGTGTAAAGCTTTGTTACGTTTTGTCATTCTGAGGCCAGCGAAATAACCTCTTACGCAACATGCATGCGTACGCGTCTACTATCGTCAAGAAACAATCAATACGTATAATCGTTGTGGTCTGTGGGATTTTAATTCAATAGTGTAAACCTTGCAGTTTTAGGGAAGCCTCACATATCGATTTTTCCACAAGAAACGTCATATGTTCGTTTTGAGGGTGGGGGAGGGGGTTTACAGCTGTGACGTTTCTCTGTAAATATCATGGAAAAGTTTGATAGTTTTTTCGAATACCTTAACATTTCGGAATCAACTTTGCAGAGTATAAAAAAGAAAACAACTTGAAAGAAAACGACTATTCAAATATAAGGGCTGGTAAACTAAAAATAAAAACTCCTTATATGGATAAACATTATAAACGTTCATTTCA